CCGACCACGCTATAGCTGCACTGGCAACCTCTGCACGCGTGCACGCATCGACAGACAGACAGACAGACAGAAGGATATCTGTGGAGAAAAGACAGACAGATGGAGATCAGATAGGAACACACAATAACACACACACACACACACAGACAGGATAGGACGGGACGGGACCGGACAGAGCGAGAGACAGAAAGAGAGAGAGAGAGAGAGAGAGAGAGAGCAAGAGCGAGAGAGAGAGAGAGAGAGCGAATCAGTGAGTGAGTGAGTGCAGGGGTGCGTGAGTGGGTGGTGACTGGGTGGTGTGTGAGATGGTGATTGAGCACGTGAGTCAAAGCCAGGCAGACCGTGCGAGGGAGGGAGGGAGAGACAAAGAAAAGCGAGCACAGCCTTTCACAAACGTGACAGTCATCTCGCCGGTCAGGCATCCTGCACCACGACTCCATTTCCGCCGTGAGGATGCTCTACTCCGGGGGTGGCCAAATGCAGACCTTCGTGAAAGGCTGCATGGCTGTAATGGAAACGAGGGACGGAGAGGCAGGCAGCACTACGTTGCTGCAGTAATTCTTGCAGCAGTTAGCTGAACATGAGAGCAGCTCCCGAGAGCTGCTTTTTGCAATGCTCGATGCTTGGTGGTTTGAGAAGCAAGTTTAGTCGCATCATCCGATGCCTTGGATGCGGAGCCGCAGACATGAGAATGGTTCGGGGCCGTCGAACCCAATGCTCGACCGTGCCAGACCCATACTCCTATGCTACGTCTTGGCACTCTGGTAAAGCCCACGCTGCACTGTAAAGATGCCCCGGGCCTGTCGTAGATCGCACCTGCTCCAGGCATCCTCTTGCATCTGGTAGGCTGAGCCAGCCGTGCAGTTCCTGCAGCGTCTCTACACGGAACTCCTTTTCAAAGCACGTCCGGCCGTTGGCACTGCACAGGGCATGCTCTGCAATGTCTCCTTACCAACCGGCACGGCAGCCCTCGTGAAAGCCAGCGGGTTCAGCGGCACTTGCCTGTTCATGGCAGGTTGAAGTGCACATATACGCCCACGACAAAATCGGGAGCGACGTGGCAGGGGTGCGGAAAACAGCAGCAGCAGCAATTCAATGACAGCAGGTGAGTAGAGATGATGTAGACTTATCTGTCAAGCTACCTACCTGACTATCTACCTACCTGTCTCTCTGCCTCTTTATCCAGCACATGCAATTGATTGTCGTGATGTCAGTGGCAAACGATCTGGCAAATCCGCACAGACAAAATCAATAGCAAAAGGTGCGACGGTAAGTGAGACATGGTCGTGATGCCCAGAACAGAAGTGGCACATGGAGACAAACATGTAACATGAGCTTTATGTCACGTGATGACGCCTGAGGCATCATACTCGCAGTAGCATGGGCTCGTGCATGTCTGGTTCAGGCCGTGCGGCTGGCTGGGTGCCCGTACAGCGTCCAAAGCCACGGCCACCTCCCGACCCTCCACGACCACAAAAAGCCGGCCCTCCTCTATGCGGTGAGTGTTTGACAAATAATTCGAGTGAGCAAGCATGTTGTTCAGTAGACGTGTTTTGCAAGTCTTCTGTGAGGAGACCAGTCCAGGCACTTCCAGAATTTGCTTGGGTAAGGATCAGACCCACGGAGACCCACTGGAACCTAGCACTGTCCTGCTCGCAAGCATTGTGCGAGATAGAACCTGCAGACCAGTGTGTTGGGCCATCCTCTGTTGCCGGAAATCGCCTCAGCTCAGCATCTCTTATCTCGCTGCCAACCAAGTCGATAAGGAGGAAGCCCAAGAAGTCCCAGAACACATCTGTTTACTTTACGGTTGTCTTCGACCCGCTCCAAGGGCTTGGGCTTCGATGCATCGCAGTGGCACTTCGACCTCGGCCCCGGCAACGAGCTGCGGAGGCGAGTCGACGGGAAAGACCCTGGCCCTTGGAGTGGAAAGCGTATCACACGAGTTCATCAAAATCCCAGGTGTGCTTGTCAAGTGCCATGCAAAGCTTAGGCGCCAGTGTCTAAGCTTTGACTGCTCACATGAAGCGGCACGATAGCGGCTGAACAACTCACCATGGGCCATGTGGGGGGCCGGAATGACAACGTATAGCTTGTTCCTACGAGTGGCAACGGAAAAGTTCAGAAGGCAAGAACGTCGTGTTCCAAGAGAGTGTAGTAAATGTAATGACATCACGGAACCTGCAGTGCGCAAGAAGCAGGAACAGGGAAGCATGGCCAAGGGCCTTAACGCTTGATTCTGCTTGATTCAGACTTCCCGTAGGACTACGAAATACAGGGCGTGGGGTTGAACATGTTCACTTCCTTCTGAAGGACGCTGAGTCGCAGTCGAATCCCGCCCAACGAGTACCAGATCAGTGCCAGGTGCTTACTAAATTCAATGCTGGGTCAGTGGCCGGACATGTTGGCAGGGGATCTCGCGACTGGGCCAAATACCCCGGTCGAAGGCCACCCAAACCTGCGCGGTGGCTTTCCTGTTTCCAGGTGCAATATACTTCATGCATATGTAGACATATATATATATATATATATATACACACAATATATGTACATGTACATGTGTACGCGCTCACATACATACATACATGCATACATACATACATGCATAGCCCCGCAAATCATCACAGGCTGTGCGCTGCAGACTTGCTCAGAGTCGCTTGGCTGCACTAGACCCTACTTTGCCTGCAACTTGCATGATGCGGCGAAACTTGAGTACCTGGTAGTATTATACTGCAATACAGTGTTACATCGGTACAGGAATCCCACTGATCTGCACTGCAGGGCCTGAACTCAACTCAGAAAGCTGGTGCCATGCTACGACGTAAACTTTGTCGAAGCTGCCTTGTCCAGTTGCAAGTCCCGCAAGATGGCTTCGTACCACGTGCCAGCGCCTGCTCTCTGTCGCACCTCGAATCCAGGTACCCTGAACCCTTCTTGGCATTGAAGCCATGAGACACAATCAAACGTTTCGGACAACGATCAGCCAGGCTGCTTCCACGAAGGCAAGGTTTCGAGGCGCGACTCCCGGTGTCATCAACCAAAGAGAAGGAAATCAGGAAAATCAAGTCCACGTGACAGCGTGTAGCCCGCAGATCTGCGGGCCTAGATACGCAGCCGTCGAGTCATGGCAAAGCTGCGAGCGATGCTGGACTATGTCAAGTCCTATGCTATTATTGGAGCATGTATTTGTGAAGTACTAAGTACTGCTTCTCAATCCTTTCTTCCCGGTGCGAGCTCACCTACCGAATACATGGCGACTGACTTGGAGAGTTTGAGGCTAAGATCGACTGTGCCATTGGTCTGCAGGGAAAGCGAAGAAACAGTTCCACATGTTCCTTCCACATGTGCCACGACCTCATAAGTGGCTGCGATTCAAGCCCAAGCCCTCGAGGCTGCAATCTGTCTAAATAATGATGCATACCATATTCAAAGAAACCAGCACTGAACAGTGCTGCAAGGGGGGCAACACGAAACAGCACTGCATAGCCAAATCGTCTGTTATATGGCGTGATGTGGGAACTGGAACGGCTGGAGTGCAACTGTGCGAAGCTGCCACAGACTCTTCCAGCAGTGTGATGGAGGCTTCAAGCTGTAAACTCAGTCTCGCAGGCGTGAGAATTAGGAGTCGGAGGTACTGTAGCCGGGCCTGAAGCCGCCAAGGGCACATGATTGAGTACAGCTTCGAACTTCGAAGGATGATGTCCAGTGAACGGCAATTAGCCCATGACCCAGGATAATGACGTCTTTACGACAAATTCAAGATAACTACCTGCTACTTCCGGGTAAGGATATGCGGCAGGCTCTGAGAGCCACCCTGCAGGCCGGGTTTGAGCTTACCAGCATGCTTGGTCGACGCTCGATATGCTCCGGTAGAACACCCAGCTAAAGCACGTTCCTACAAGCAGGGCAGCAATTCGTCGTTTCTTGTACTAGAGCATACTAGAGCAGGCCACGGTCTTTCCAGGATTCCCCATCCAAGCTGACGGCCATGGCCTTCTGTGTTGCACTTTTCCTTGCTTTCAAAACCCCGGGGCAGAGAGACGGAGGCCGGAGCCAAGCCGATGCACAGCGAGTCAGCAAGCCGAGCACCCGGGCAGGCCTCCGGGTCCTCGGGCTTCTGCCTCGAAGAAAATACTTAGGTGCTGAGTTCATAAGCCCCAAAAAGTGTACACAATCCGTTTTATGGTGGCTAATATTTTCCCAAAAAGTGTAAAGTGTATCCACTCAGCTACTAAGAATATCAGTTGTGATCTGTGACGGCTGCCGACAAGCTGCTACCTTGCCTGACTTAGGCTTGCAGCGTGAACTGCTGCCAACATGGGAGTTTCCGAAATTAGGGGTACCTTATTATAATAAGGATCCTATTATTTCGGTGCTATACTAGGTTTTCGGAAATTCGTGGAAATTCCCACCATGCTTCTCTGCTCAATCAGCTTCTGAGCTCCAGACGCGGCTCCTTGGGCCTCCGCGGACGAGCGACACATTTTGCTGTTCTGGTTCTTAGTAGAGAATGGGGGAATGGATTATGGAGACAGTATGGAGCCGGAGCCTACTATTAGGGATTGTATAGGGACTACTACAAGGATCCATTCCCCCATTCCCTGCTAAGCACCAGGGAGGTTTTGAGGGCCTGCCCTTTAAGTCCTACGATGCTCACATGTGATACAACAGGTGCGCGTCTGATCGTGCCAACACCGAATGATATGTAAGGGTTGGCTTGGGGATATGATGTCTTCGAAGCAGCGGCAGTTTAAGCAAACTTACATCATTAGCTCGACAGCCGCTTGACGCCGTGAGGACCAAAGCCTGGTCCTTGTAAGCAGCCCATGCGTGTCCAGCTGAGCCGCCCACGTAAGTTTGCGGCGTCTGAGCTTTCAAAAGGCTGAGAGAGGTGTCAGTCTCCTGCAATGGAGGTGGTTGCAGAGTCGAGCCGGCAGGCAGAACTCGCGACCGATGCAAGCGGTTCACCATAACTTCTCAGAGCTTCCGCTTGTCACGACCTTCGGGGATTGCGGTCCTTGGTGACTTTTTCCGTCTCGGCGATGACCTGTCGACTGCAACTCAGAATGATGAAAAGCATTGCCTATCTGTATGCAAAGACTTGTAGCAATCCCTGCTGTGGTACGAGTAGGAATCTCCAGGGTGGCTCTCACCATCACGACATGTCCGAAGCAGTTTGGCCTTCTGAATTTCCTGCTCCACCGCGAGTTTGTGACTCTCAGCTGCTGCCTTCCATTCATTTCTGCATCAGAACCATGCTTCTGGGACTCTGTGACGGCGAAGCTTCATGCGAAGCTCGGTCTTCTTCTAAGTTCAACCATACTTGAAATCATGGTGTTCAAATTGTCAGTGCTAGCAAAGAAACTTCTGATCAAAAATGATGATGCCACTCGCACCAACAGCAACTGCCACCAACATGTGGCAGGGCTGATAATTGCAATCATGATGCCAAGACCAAGACGGATGAACACTGCCGACACTGTTGAGGGGTGGCAAACCCCAAGATCATGATCGGCACGAGACGAACACATGTCCAGCTGATGTGCTGGTGCCGTTGATCTGATATCATGGCCGTCATCTCTGGCTGTTGGAGTAACATCAAGGAGGCGAACATGTTTCACGGTAGTTGAAGCAGTACCGAATGAGAACCAGGTCCATGGTGGAAAGCTAAAGCCGCAAAGCCAAGGAGACTGTAGGTTCTGTAGAAGTCCGGAGAAGTTTCTTCCCTGGCAACAACAGAAAAGCAAACAAGATACACACGTCGTGGAGATGTGTTTACCTGCAGAAGTTCTCGGTGTTAGGCGTGGTTATGGCTTCAAGTTGCCCTCTGAGAAACCGCGCCAAGGCATCGGCAGCTTCATCACGCCTGTGTTTCAATCGAGGGTCCACTGGCATGAGCAGTCGATTGGCAGCAAAAGCAGTGCGACAAACAGCAGAAAGCAGATGCCAAACCAATCATTGCACAACCAGCCCAGCGAATGCTGGACAGCTTTTCAAGGGCATCCTTGCGGCTCTTGCGACTTGGGAATCCGAGCAGACCTCTGTAGGCAACCCACGGTGTATACTGAAGTACTGCCCACCTTGTACAGAACTCTATCAGGATTCCAGTGGCTTCTGAATTGAAACGCTGGCTTTCAGCGGCTTCAGCTCTGCAGAATTAGCAACGGAGCATGCCCGAGCCTCTATCTCCCTTGTCTAGGGATGGTGTGGGCTTCAATCTCAGGCGTCGGGGCAGTTCATGTGGAAGTTGGCGGGGTGCTCAGGCTGTCGGCTGCCGAGGTTGCCCGATCGAGGCTCGTCTCTACACCAGTCACAAGAAGTACTCGACCGGGGGCCTGCCTATGGCTGCTTCACCCCGACGAGGCGCGGGATCGAACTGCACAAAGTGAGACCCTAGCCGCTCATCAATCTCCATGATGGCGGCCTGGTTTCCGGAACCTGGCTCACCCACATTGAAGACTAATTATCTCGACCGCGGCAGGTGCGAAGTGGCCAAGTGGCGGTAGCAGTAGTTGGGCGCAGAAAAGATGGTGACAACTTGCTGTTCCTGGGCGGCCCCGGGGCGAATCACAAGGGCCTCACTGGTTGTGACCTACCGTCTGTGGAGTGTGTGCTGTGATGCCATGACCGCAACGCCATAACATGTTGACACATGTTGCGTACCTGGCTTCTCTGAACTGCAGGTCATGGTCATGTGGTCTGTATGCTCGCACCAATCTTCTAGACCAAAAGATAGGACTGGTGAGGTCGTGGCATGCTCCTAGACTGGGCAAACACTGTACTGCCAGACCGGTGTAGTCAACATGAGCTGCTGCGGGAGGTCGCATCATAAGACTCTAGATCTGCATCAGCTGGCACGAATTGGGAAGCATACTGCCTAAAGAAAGAGCCACCCGCGAGTGGGACAAGTGTCAATCACCATCTTCAGTTGTCACTAGTTCTTGGTCATCACTATCACAGCAAACTTTGGCAGCAATGAGACCTACACCCCAAGGCCTGCGAAGAAATTGGCTGGAGACAAGGTTCATGGGTCCAGTTGTACCCTTCCATGACCAGCTGGTGCGCCCTCGCGATGAGGTTCAAACCTGACTGGATGCTTGCATCACATCTGGCATCTAAGTGCATAAGGCATAAGGAAAGGTTAACAGTTTCATCGACTGCCATTTGTGTGTGTGTGTGTGTGCCCAGAAGCCGTTCGACTGGTTGAACTTCTCGGACACATCCTGCCCGAAGGTGTAGCCCGCACCTTTCCGGAGGAGTCCAACTAAGAACTCCAAGAACAAAAGCGAAGTAAGCAGCCGTCAGCGAAGTCTGCGCTTCTAACATCCACTTGCCTCGAGGACTCACGCCCCAGCCCAGACGATCGTCAGGATCACCTCAGAGTCGCTGTGCAGAGAAACGGATCGGATCGAAAACTTGAGCACCGCAGGAATGCATGGGACCCTAAACTACCACATGAACCACTGGCAGTCTTGTGTCTGTTCTCCGTCCGTGTAGAATCTGGAAGGAGCTGCGCGATGCTTCCACAAGCCAAGATGCTCCACAGGAGGTCGCACATGGCGCCCTCGTGCGGCACCTCCTGTATCCGATCAAGCTTCCTGACCTTAATGTCAGGAACATGAGACAATCTTTCAGAGACTGAACATGCTTGTCAATGATGCCCTCAGAAGCATGTGCGGACGCTCTTTGATTAATCAGGGTCGGAGGATGATGCAATGTAACACAAAGGCTCGACAAACAACGGCCATGATCCTTGCCTCTACAATCTAAATACTGCAGCTCAGTGGGCATCGTCTAGCTTCTCGATGCTCGGTGAGAGGCCTGCACAAGCACTTTTATGCTACGGGCTACAGGAAGGAGGCAGGGCTACTTTTCTTTGGTTTCTAGTGAAGCACTGGTACGTCTCAAGATGGTCAAACTTGGAGCCTCCGTGCTGTGAGAAGATCCGGTTCTCGACCAGGGCAGTCAAGGGCAGATAGTCGAACAAGTCTGTGAACATCTTCCTCGCAGTCTGCACTGCACATTCAGTGAAGGCCGAGATCCTGCACCCTTCTACTTGGACCCGCAGGAGGGGAATGCTCAGGGCAAGGCTCACGAATCAAGTTTTCTTCTTAGTTGCATCCTTTCAAGCGTTCTTCGACATCACTGATATCAGCATGGCTGAGACAAGTGTGACTTATTTCTCTTATGACTATGGCAACTTCGGTTTTGGTTAAGAAGATCCCGGGTCGGCGGGGACTGTTCTAGGTTTGCAACCAGATGGCAAGAGGGAAGCATTTGTTGAGCTATCGTCAGAACATGTCAGAACCACCCAGATGCGCCGATCTATACAGCCATGGTTCCACACACTTTGGCTGCCATACTTCCGAGCACACTCGTCGAAGAAGCCGTAAATCTGCGTGATCTGGCGACTCTCCTTGCTCGGAGAAGCTTCGACTCACTGACTGTTGTTGCATGCCAGCCCCGAGCAAAAACGGCCCTTAAACCGTCCATTCACTTGCGAGGTGCGTGGTTGCCCCGAAGAATGGTGATCCGTTCCCGGTACCGGACCTTGTAGGCCAGCAGAAGGGACACCTCAGACCAGGCTTGTAAGTTCTATCTGAGCTTATTGACGAAGTCCAGCAACCAGGACTGACAACATACGGATGTTGGGCTTTGAATTTATCGTTTTGGGTTTCGGGACATTTCAAGCAAATTCGCTTCGCAAGTCCGGGATGCGTTGGGCGGTGACGGGAGACAGTCACACCATTCACACCGATTGGGGACAGGCGCTAGCAATTTATGCTTCTCTCCACACGATCTAATATGACATGTCGCGATCCTTTTACAATCAAGCAATCAATTGGGAGCTAATCATTTCTCTTTCTCAGTTATAACGCAGTATTCGGCACAACATGTTGAGCAAAGCCGCGCACTCTACCGAGAAATAGCCTCGGTCGACATAGTCCCCGAGGAAGAGATAATTTGTGTCTGGGAGGAGGCCCCCTATACGGAAGAGCTCCATGAGATCATGGAACTGGCCATGGATGTCACCTGATGGCCGGGCTGTGCTGAGGTATACCCGGTCGCAACTTCCAATCGCACAAGGTCTACTTAAAAACAGAAACCGAGAAAAGATTGGTTTGTAGCATTCCCAGGCAAGGCCTGATATCGTCACAGGGCATCTGACCGGCTGCACATTGCTCTCCTGGCGATAAGCTCTGGAACTTTCTGCTGAACTGCTGCCATCTCTCTGTCAGCGTAGGGGGGATGTGGGGCGAGTATACCCTCCTCTCGGCTGGACGGGCTGCCAGTCTGGATCTCAGCTGAAGGTTGGTTCAATATCCCCCCAAAACCGACTTTCCACTCGTTCAAGAGTCTGCGAAGGAAAGTGCAGATGTTTTAGTTTTGGCATAAAAAGGCTGGTGGACTCCCCAGCAAAAAACGCAGAGCGGCTGGCTGACCTTCGCTGGCACAAGCTGAGAACACTACCAGGATGCAAGAGGGCACCATTGCTACAGCAAGCTACACAAATTTGATGAGGTTGGACTCACACAAATTGGCGAGCGGCCCTACAAGATGGTGACTGTATGAAGACACTATGGGGCCAACAGCTTCTCAGGCACCTACCGCTGTTTCTTATGCTGGTTGTCCTTCATGCCAACCCCGTCCTTCGTTTTGCGGGCGCTCACTTTTGATGCAAGAGCAGGAGCTTGGACATATGTAGACCCTAAATATCTCCATCTACGCAATCAGTTTAGTTATATACATTTCAGGTGTGTGTGTGTGTGTGTGTGTGCGTATGCGTGTCAGTGTGTGTGTGTGTGTGTGTGTGGGGGTGGGTGGGTGGGTGGGTGGGTGGGTGGGTGGGTGTGTGTGTGTGTGTGTGTGTGTGTGTGTGGACCTCTGTTACCAAGAGGAACCGTTTTTGAAACACGTTGGACAGTTGTGCTGAATTACAGAAAATTGCAGGGGGCAGAGGGTCTCATTTCACGGCCTCTGCCAACGAAGCTCCGGGATATTGAGACAGGTAAACGTACCTGCAGTGGTCGGCATGGGCACTTTCGTGCAGCTTGTGACCACACAACTGTTGATTGCGAGTAGGAGTGCAGTGCAGTTTCATGTGCATGTCTGGGAGATTTTGCCTTGTACAGTGAAAAAGTCAGAGATCAAGTGAAGATGAGCCTTGAGGCCAGATAGGTACCGGAACCCCCTGGAAGCTTCATGCTTTCGAGATACATCAAGCTGTGCTTGATAACCAGATTGATTAGTGGCTGCGCGATGGATGTCTAAGTGTGTCCCAGGTAGTTACAAGCTGGTCTTGTATTCGTTTACCGCGCTACCTGCGGCGGGGTTAGCCCGTGCGAGTACCTGCCAGGGTGGATCTGATAAAGGCAGGGATACATTGTTTTGGGCCCGTCGTGGTCCTCACAGGTCCGACTGAATTTGCTGCTCCGATGGTGCAGACATCTGATTACTTCAGTCGTGATGTTTTCTCCGCTCCTGACTTAATGTCAGGTTTGATGCCAGGTTTCATTGCAGGTCCTGAATTTTTGCAGATCCGATGGAACCAACGGCTTTTCTATCCGCAGACCACGATTTCAGCTCCGAGACACAAGCCTGTAGCAATCTCTTGCGATCATGTCGTGGACCCGTGAACAAGATTGGGCCAAGTCGTCCTGGGCTAGTTCGTCTTGGGAGAAGAAAGGATCGTCGGGTTGGAACAACCGTGACTGGCAAAAATCTCCTCAACAGTCTGTTCCCAGCACCAATGTTGCCATCCCATCGTCTTTTACCAGTGACTGGGAGTGTTACGACAAGAATGCTATTTCTGGCAAGAAGTTCTTTCGTAACATCCAATCCACGCCCTGGTCTACGAAAGCTGGACTGGCTGGAAAAGATGTCGCCGATCTTCGTGTCTCAGACCTGACGAGAAAAGGTCTTGATGACTTCAGTCTCCGCTGTTTGTCCAATGGAGAATTTCAGAGCCTGGTGTTCGTGAGGTCGATTTCAGAAGCAGTGTTTGTGACTAACCTGCTTCGTCACATTCGGCAAGACCGGATTGATCTTGATGCCGTGGCAGCAAATATGCACGGCCCAGCTCCGCCTGACAAGCACAGGGAGTCTGCGAGATTTATGCAACCATTGCTTGGCGAAATTGTTTCAACAATCAAAGCCAATTCGCCCCCTCCGGCGGATTCAAGCCAGCAATCGCCTGAGAGTGAACAGCTTGCTCGTGCGAAGCGAAAGTTGAAGGAAGCTGGGATTGCTCTTACTCCAGAGAAGAAGCAGGCCAAAACTGGCCCAAAGCCCACCGCTTCGCCATCACCGTCAGCTGAGCAGATTTTGAATGCGGAACTCCCGAATCCGCCGAACTCTGTTCCGAGTTCCAGCTCTCCTGATGTTGTTGAAAAATGGCTCAAGAAGCATCAGAGCCAGTTTCGTGGTCAAGCTGCAGCTTTTAAGAAACATGTGGCTGATGTTTGCTCTGTGCTGAAAGATTCAGCCACTGATCGGCAAAGCCTGGCAGATCTCGCTATCAAGTACGGCTTGAAGAAAAGCCATGCCAGCAAGATGTCATTCACCAATTTGTCTTCGTTCATTGGTGCATGTCAGTTTGAATCAGCTTGACTAGCTACCCAAGCAAAAACGGTGCAACATCAGCCGATTCAGGTCCGTAAGAGGCTTGCTTCAGCAGTGTGCACGCTTGGTACAGCAGCAGCTTTCATGTTGGAGTTTGGCGATGGAATACCCAAGACTCCGCTGATTTGGGTGCATACATTGATGTCGTTGGTGTTGTTGTTTTACCTCAATGCACCCAGCCAGGATGATTCACACAGATTCAAGATTGTTCGGAGATTGCAGCAGTTCGGAGTGGATCCAGATACTCTGCATTATTCTCTGTTTGAGAAGCCGAACACTGTATATTGCATTTTTCAAGTTGATTTCGACATGGGTCGATTTCGTTCGGGCTACCGTCAGCCCTCATCACTTCTGTATGTGGGAAGCACTGCTGTCGGTGCAGCCAAGCGGCATTTGAACCGCATGGCAGTCTACAGAAGACTTCAAAGAACCGAATTTGTGGATGCAGAATTGTCCCTGAGATATTGGGCATCCCAACACGACCTTTTCCAGTTTGTGCTTGTTCCGCTGGAATTTTGTGACAACTACCAGCGAGCTTGGACTGTTGAGCACGAACTCATTGCTCAATGGCAGGCACCTTTGAAGTATCCCAGAGCAATGTCTCTCATTAAGAAGACCGCTCTCGGTTTCCGGATTTCGTCCAAACGCAGAGGGTCATTGTATTGCACCTTTAGCCTCCGACTTTGGCGCAAACTGCGAAAGCGCATGTTTGGTCGTAGTTCGAAATTCTTCATTCATGACTCTCGGGAGTTAGCCTGGGGGCTTCTGTTTAAGCTGGCATCGAGAACCCGAGCATCCTTTGAAACAGCGAAGCTGCTCCGATCCAACAAGACGGCTGACGAGGAAGTGTATGCCCTCATCAAACTCAGTCGCAATATCGAAAACCCTCATCGCAACAGGGTGCAAGGAATACTCAAAGGTGTAGCCAAGTTTCGCAAGAAGATGCACTGGCCACGGACTTCCCGACCTTTGGGAGTCCTGCCAACTGCGTCTCCTTCGTTTTCCAAGGAGTGCGAGAAGTGGTTAAAAGACCTCATCCTCCGGTACAAGTATCTTTTTCCATCTTTTCATGTTCCAAAGAACAGCCTACGTGAAGTTCCGCACCAGAGTATCAAGAAATTTCTCCACAACTTCCGATCTTGGGAAGAAACGATGTGGGAGCACGACTTTGATTTGGAGTCGGTGCACTGTCCGTGTGAGCAGTTTGCAGGAAAACTTCCTGCTCATTGCTTCGTGTCTGGCCACGTAGCCACAGGTTTGGAGAACCTGACCAAGCTACTACCAGGCTGTTCGAGCATCTTATCGGCCAGTGCCGCGAGCACCTTTTTCCCAGGCCGCAATCACTGGATGGCCAAGTCCAGAGCTCTGTTTGATCAGTGGCTCAAGAGACACAAGCTACCAGCGACGTTGCATCCAATTTTTCAATCCTTTTGTGACCACCAGTGGCAGCAACATGTTGCAGCCCTGGAACAATCAGACAGACTACACTGGGCTTTGGTACAGAAGGTGAAGTCTGCCTTGCACTCGGATTTTGTTCTGTACAACGAAGATCATCATCCGAATCATGTCGTGTGCTATTGTCCTCGCTTCTTCCTTCGAGGAGTTAGCACCACATGGAACGATCCCTCTGTGTTTCGTACTCTTGATGGTACCCCTGAAGAATGGAGACAGCGCATTTTGAAGCGCGTTCCTCGAGATCTGTCCAGAAGATACGCCTGGGCCTTCAAAGAAGCAGCTCCGCTGCCTCAAGGCACTGTGTTCCTGAAACGGAAGAAACAGTTTGCCAAGGGACGGACCATCATTTCGTATTCCAATTCGTTGTGCAGCAAGCTATTGGAGCTGACCTCCATTGCGTTAACCTTAATGGTCAAGACGCTGTTTGCTGACAGCCCAGGCATGCAGAGCATGCCACAGCTCTGGAGGTCTCTTCATGCTTATTGGGCGAAGCCCAGCCAAGAGGAAGACGTCGAATGGAACGACGATCTCGTGGGATTTTTCAATGCAGTTCCCCGAAAAGACATCATGCACGCAGTGCATTTGATTGTCCAAGAATACTGCCAAACTTCTGGCTGTTCGATCCTCTCGATCGATATGTTGTCAAAAACGGGACACCCGGGCAAACCTCGGGGGAGAACGAAATCAAACTTAAAGAGGTGTTGGGTTTCTGATGTTCCGCTGATTGTGGATCTATCCTTCGCCACGGGAGTTTTTACAGCTGCTGGAAAGTGCAGGCAGCAAGTGGAGGGGACGTGTATAGGCAATCAAATATCGCCGATCCTCTCCGGACTTCCTGTACTCCTGGCCGAGCGGCAGTTTTTGCAATCTTTGCCGACGGCCATCCAATCGTCTTTCTTGTTTCTCCGTTACGTCGATAACAGACTGATTCTGGGACCTCAGAAAATTCTACTGTCGTCCCAACTCCGGAGATTCTGCGATCCTAACTTTTATGATGGGATTCAGTTGGAAACTGTGTCAGACCATCAATGGTTGGGTTTTACCATTTGTGCCAAGACTCGCTCAGCAACTTTTAATCTCCCGGAGCAACCATGGCAGATCCGCTCGCCCAACAGCGCTGGATCGTGGCAGCTGGCAGCCCCGGGATACTTTTCTCGAGCATCTTTGATTCGCCAGTACTCCTGGCCCCCCGAATCAAGACCGGGACAACTTCGCAGACTCAAGCAACTGTATGTACAGGCAGGTTTTCCTGTGAATGCGTTGCAATGAAGTCAACAAATAAGTCAGTCGATTGAGAGTTTCGCTGCCTCTTTGCAATGTTTTTGTTCCTAATTGTGCACGTGAGCTACTGATTCAGTACCATAGCTGCATTGGTTTTCAGCTGGGTATCGGCCTGTTGAAGGAATATTTCAACCCAGAGCCATGGCCCAGCAATACCATTTTCACTTCTACGGAGGACCCCCTGGAGTGCAGACTTCAAGCGGACCGCAACCTCCGGTTACAATTCTTTCGACTCCTCAGGAAGCTAGCAGAGCTCGGTCGGTTTTGGTACACCCACCACCTCGAGCTCCGCTTCCAATTCAACTCACACCGGGTGAGCCGGCCAGGTCTACTCACCCCAGCCGTGAGCGTCATGATCGCAGTCGCTCGAGACGACGACGGCGTCGACACCATCGGCATGAACGTCACCCTGAGGGACCTCCCGCGGCCCCAGTTCGACCAGTTCTGCCTCCCCCTCAGCCTCCTACTCGACCACCAACAAGGTCGGTCAGTGCAGTTCCTCCGATGCGCCCACCTTTTCGTTCTACCAGCTTATAAAACATGCCACCCCGGCCTAGACCGAGATCTATTGAGCCGGCTTCTGTCCGTTCCCGGCCTCATGAAAACAATGGGCCCAGCAACAGTCCACAGCGACCGCCGGGGCAATGGGTACCTAGTGTTCCTGCTGGGACTCTGAGCCAAAGGCCAGTAACACCCAGAGTTCGAGCTCCTGCTTCACATTCTCAAGCAGCCACTGATGCATTACATCAGGCTGCTCAAGCTTTTGGAGCTCCCGGCAATGCACAAAGCAAACCGGAGACAGGCCCGATTTTGAATAACAAGGAGCCTGTCGCGGCAGCTCCCTCATCGGAGCTTCACAAGAACACGTCGCCCAAGACGCCTCCCAAGAATCCGGCTCCAAAGAGCCCAGTTCCTCCTGCTCAATCCGGTTTGATTTCTGTTGATGAGGAACAGCTATTTCATGCTGCTCATCGCAGCAGCTATGAACAACTGCGAGAGCAATCACAGCTCGAGCCAAAGGCCGCAATGCTGTCGATTTCTATGAGGAGGGAATGAGTTCTCTCTTGGCGTATATGTTCTTTGTTTTGCATTATCATGAGAATTTTCTCACAACTGAAGGCTTGCATACGTGGCCTATTATCCCACATTCTCATATGCGAAGATTCACTGATCGCATCACTTTTACTCGGCAACGTTCATTGCCAGTTTCCAAAATCCTCAAAGAGGATGTTGAGGATGTGCTGAAATTTTTGTTGACCCGATTTGGCCAGGCAGACCGACCTTTTCTGCCTGTGATTCCTATTGGCCAACGGGAGATTGTCACTCTTGCCCGGTCCATTTTGGCCAGCAAGATACCATATAAGGCAATTTTTCAGCATGATGCCAAGGCGTATGCCATGCCCCAAGAAGCATTGCATGTTTGGGAGTTTCCAGTGGCACATATGCCAGGACCTGAAGAGCAGACCAACTGCTATTATCTTTGGGGACACGGGACCACGGCCGAAGGCCTGGTCGGCATCCTCACGTTGGGCAGGGTCATTCGCTCTAGCGCCGAAGCTGTACATGTGGCGCCGCACGATCATGTGTGCTCCTTTTATGGCAAAGCCACACAAAACGTGTACTATGAAGAGAGCAAGTTAGACTTCGTGTCAAAACTGCACCACTCCACGAAGAATTCCGCAGGAGTGGTCGTTGGAGGATATCTTGGATCTGCGCATCACAAATCCAAATCCTCCAGTACTGTACATGAAGGACACTTGTGCAAGTTCCACCCGCTTGTACACTCCCCTTCAGGAGATAAGCGCTGGGCGGTACGTGAAGCCGCAGGGCGCATCGACAAAATTTGGATTTTGTCAAGCACCCACTCCATTACGTTGCCGATGTCCACCCCCAACAATCCCCGGCCGATTACTTTTGAAACGGGGGAAGGACAGGATTGGGGAGTCAGCTGGCCTGGCTTGGAGTACTCTGTACGAAGCACCGAAGCTTTACCGGTCTCCGATGTACAGAGAGAGGCTTAA